TAAGTAACATTTGTCATTTTAATAATAATATATATTAATATGAGGGGGTAACTTTTAATCTCTTAAAGGTTGGGGACAAAAATTGGAAAAATTTTGGTTAGATACATGATTACTATTTTGCCAAAGTTGGATCTATACATTCAATTTATCCTTAAAAGAAAGTGTAGTTCACTGCCAAACCAACAGTCTTTTTTTGGATGAAATCCATCCAAAATGAACAATTGTGCCAAGAATGCAAAATGTTGGAATCATTTGCACCATGATTTTAAGCTTTGGACCAAAAATGCAAGATGGGCAAATGTTTGATACCAATTGTACAAATTTCTCCTTTTATTTTTATTTTTTTGTTTTTATTTTTTCGTGCCATTGTATTAGATTATCCTAGCCTTCCATTCTACTTGAGTTTGCCTATAAACTGAGCAAAGCCCATGGAAAGCACATATATATATATTTGCAATTCTCAAGCTGGAAATCTCTATCATATAATACAAGAATTCTCTTGAAATAATAAAGATCATCATGACTCCACCATCAACATGATATGGCCCTCTTTGGTACCCATTTTTTTCAAAATGCATTTTTATCTCTCTTCTTTTCAACCACACATTCTTTATTAAAATAATATTATACATAAATCAAAAACTTTTCTTTATTTTTCAACCACGCATCTTCTATTAATTTACTATTCTAAAATGCATTTTTACAAGAAAATGGGTATCAAACACAGAAGAAAATGGGTAATGAGTATCAGTAATGTATGGGCTTTGAACTTTAAATAATAAAGATTGCCAAAAATATTCAACTTCTTAATCATCAATGACACCAATATGGCTTACCAGACATGCCTTCATTGCAAGATATAACATTAATTACAATACAAGGTAACAGTGACATCTCCCGAACAAGGGAATTAATACATAAAATAACAAGAGAAAAGTTGAAAACAAAAATGAAACTACAAAATTCTTATTTCATCACATATCCCACACTATAAACTTCTATTCTGGTAAAGAATAAAAATTAGAGGTGCCTACAGAAAAGAGAGACAACATGACAAATAGATATAATTAGCATCTTATCATATGGCAACTGATTCAGCTGACCACTTCCATACCCTAACTTGACCGGATCCATCACCAGTGAAAAACAAACCACTAGGACCAATATGTATGGCTCGAACCTCTTTCTTTGAAAAAATCTTTGCCCTCTCCGAAAAACTAGGAAAAAATAAATTATATTATTAGAATAGGGAAAAATAGTGACATTTTCAATCAAGAGAAGTAATATCAATGCAATAAGTACTAGTTTGGTATGCAATTGTGGGACATGATTTTTGCTCTTTCTTCCTCAGTACCATCCCACTTGCAAAGATGGCATAAATACATTAGCAAGACAAAGTAAGAAAATGGTGAAACTCACGATGGCAAATCATAAACGCGGATGGTATTGTCATTGCAGGAACAAAATAAAACTGGTTTGGCTTCTGAATCATGCATCCCACAAAGTGTGAGCACACCCTGCATGAAACATGTGCAAACGAAAGAATAACAAATCCATAGAAATAACTATGGCCATATAATCTTTTCTCTATGAGAAATTTGAAATAATTAGCATATAAAGATCACATCCCACCTGAAATGGGACGAGTATGCTATATCCTATAGTACACATCAAATGAGCAACTAAAAAATTGATGCAGTAATTAACTAAAGCATACATGTTCCTCGATGTGGGTATAAGTTGCTTCCAAGGTCCCATTTTCAGTTGCCACCCAAACCTAAAAATGAGAAAATCAACATAATATATAACTCAATCCTTTTCGCACAAAAAGGTAAGACGGTTGTCAGAGATTTCTTTTTTTCTTTTTTTTTTTTTTTTTTTTTTTGGGCATATAATTGTAGAAAACCTTGATTGTTTTATCCAGTGAGGATGACAAAAGGAACTGGTCCCAACACAATACAGACATCACAACATCCGTATGTCCTCTCAAAGTTTGTAGGCACTGCAAAGTTTCAAGGTTCCATACCTGAATACAGAAATCAACAAAAAAATAAAGATAACAAACCGTCAGACAAAGTTATGATGTCAAGATATTGCTTTTTCGAATTTTCTCACAATGAAACATGGATAGCAAGAAAAACCCATTTCTCATTTCTTTACTTACTCTTATAGAATGGTCCATGGAACCAGAGTACAATCTGTTAGCTCCAACAACTAGGGTAACAACAGCAAGAGTGTGACCCTTAAGTGAGGCAGCTGGCTCAAAACAGTTAGTGGCTACATTGAATTTCCATGCCAATATGGTCCCGTCCTGCAGTAAAATAGGTATGTTCAGGAAAATGGGAAAGATGATAATATGTGGCGTACAATTTTTGCACTTCAACCCATAGGCAACCATCTAACCATGCATCTCAAAGGTACTAGAAACTAGCGAGCCTACGAGGAAATTAGCAAATATTTTTTTCACCCATCATCAGAAACATACATGAAGAAGCTAAAAAATAATGCAACACATCTGGAAATTGAAAGAAATAGGTTTGGCAAACCAAGGAAATTATAAAGCTCTCAAAACTTTACCTGCGTACCAGCAAAAAGCATATCATTGCCAATGACAAGGGAATATACTTGTCCAACAGGTCCATTTAAACTTAGGTCTGTAGATGTCTGAATGTTCCATGCCTGTAGCAACACAAGATAATGCCCAATAGGTCAAAAGAATAGATATCCATTATGTTGTAAGAACAAGGAACAAAACAATGAGGATGTGAAAGACAAGGAAACAAGTAATAAAATAATGCTCAGAACTAAAGGGATAAAAATAATAAAGATATTTTGATTTCCAATCTTACCTTGACAAGATTAGTCAAACCCACGAATAGCCATGGGCCTTCACTTAGCATACAGCCTACCGCACCTCCCACATTCACTACCCCAACAACCTGTAGCAAAAACCAGAGTACAAGACAAATGAGTAAACAACAGCATTCCCAAGGAATCACCGATTAAATGAGCAAGACAAAATATATAACATTCTACAAGGGGTTACAGAAGTACTCTGTGTACTCAATGAGATTTTCCCTTATTCCCAACTTCTGTTCCTTGCAGTAACTTTTGCAAACTCTTACACATATATTAAAGTTCAAAACTCATAACAACTTCATATCTTCTCTCCAACATTTATTTCATTAGGAAAACCTCAGGCTTATGAGCATATATTAAATAATTTTAATAAATTATTCTTTCATGAAATTATCCCCGGAAAACGTGATAAAATGCAAGCAAAACAATTTAAAAGGAAGAAAAATAATAACTATGTAAACAACCTGACCGGATTGGCAGTCCCAAACTCTAACAGACTCATCTTGACTCCCCGTGTAAAGCTTATCCAGTCCCATGGGCAAAGCAATCCCAGTAACAACCTGTTGAAGAAATCCTATGGTTAACTGAGAAAGCACAACAACTAATCTTCGACAATCACAAGTAACTTAAAGTACGTTTGAGAAGTGTTTATAGACGATTTTGTTGTGAGTCCTACGAAATGTGTATATAAAATTGATTAGAAGTTCATATACACGAGCCAAACACAAGCTTAATACAAAAACATGCATATAATGATAAAATTCTGGGTCCACCAAAATGTAACCTATGTAATAGAGTCGTGTTTTGGGGTTTGAAGTATACGTGTTTTATTGATAGGATAAATGAATATATACAATACAAGAAATTACAACCATGGTCCCTAACAATAACAAATATTACAAGTAAGTACAATTATATTTCAACTCTCCCCCTCAAGTTGGTGCATAGATATCGCGCATGCCCAACTTGGATAACATTGTATGAAATGGACCGCTAGCAACTCCATGTGTCATTACATCGGCCAGTTGTTCTACCCTCTTGATGTATGGAACCTCTATATTTTTGGAGTCGAGATTATCTTTGATGTAGTTCCTATCAAGTTCAACATGCTTTGTTCTATCATGTTGCACAGGGCTATTTGCGATTTTAATGGCTGCAGTGTTATCACAAAAAAGTAACATAGGCTTGTCAGGACCAAAGCCAAGTTCACTCAGGAGAAGTTTTAGCCATGTGAGCTCGGTAGTTGCATGATGCAATGCACGATATTCCGCCTCAGCACTGGATAATGAGACTACATTCTGTTTTTTACTCCTCCAAGTCACAAGATTACCCCCAACAAATGATACATAACCTGATGTGGATTTTCTGTCCAATCTCGATCCAGCAAAATCAGAATCCGTGTAGCCCATAATATCTAGATGCCCCTCTTTTGAGTACAGAATACCCTTGCCTGGAGAGGACTTTAGATATGCCAATATCCGATTAACTGCACTCATATGCTGCTCACTGGGGTTATGCATGAATTGACTCACAACGCTAACTGCATATGACAAATCCGGTCTCGTGTGGGTTAGATAAATCAACTTCCCCACCAATCTCTGATATCTCTCTTTGTTTGTGGGAATCTGGTCAGGATAGATAGATAGACCATGATTTACCTCAATGGGTATGTCAACAGGGACACAAGCCGACATACTAGTTTCTGCTAGGAGGTCAAGGACATACTTGCGTTGGGATAGGATAAGTTCTTCCTGAGACCGTGATACCTCAATGCCCAAGAAATACTTCAAGGTACCTAAATCCTTCATTTCAAACTCCTTTGTCAAATGGCTTCGGAGTTTCTCAATCTCACTAGGATTACTGCCCGTAACAATCATATCATCCACATACACAATAAGTATAGTAATATCATGACCATCTCTCTTATAAAATAGAGTATAATCAGCCAAGGCCTGTTTAAAACCATACCTTTTCATTGAACAACTCAATCTTCCAAACCACGCCCTTGGTGATTGTTTTAGCCCATACAAGGCTTTCTTCAACTTACACACATTACCCTCTGGAGGAGTAAAACCAGGAGGAGGATCCATATACACTTCCTCTGTCAGATCACCATGAAGGAATGCATTTTTAACATCAAATTGCCTCAATGGCCAATCAAGATTGACTGCTAGAGACAGGATGACTCTAACAGTATTCATCTTAGCTACTGGGGCAAGCGTTTCCTGGTAGTCAATTCCATACGTCTGTGTGTACCCTTTGGCAACCAATCTAGCATTATACCTATCTACAGCTCCACCTGCCCTGAATTTTAATGAGTACACCCACTTGCATCCCACAGTCCTTTTTCCTGGAGGTAGTAAGACCATTTCCCAAGTAGAGTTCTTTTGGAGAGCATTCATCTCTTCTACCATAGCAGATTTCCATTTAGGTTGATCAAGAGCTTCCTGAAAGTGATTAGGTATAGACACAGATGACAATTGGAGGGCAAATGTTAGGTTAGTCTTAGATAAACGGTGGTACGAGATATAATCATTTATGGGAAAGATAGCATTGGAAGAAGATTTCAAAAATCCAAACCTATCAGGCTTATTATGGACTCGAAGGGGATATCTCCTATCTCGAGTATCAACAGTATCTAAAGCTGCAGGATTAGAGTCAGAAATAGAGATAGGAGTAGAAGGGGTAAGCAAAGTAGGTACCTCATTTTCAATCTTCGAAGAATAAGATGGCACTGTAGTATCAACAGGAGGGTTATTATGGTCTGAGGAGGATAATACTGGAGTACAAGCATTGTCTAAATTTCTCCTTGTATAGCATTTTCGGAACAAGCGAGGTGATCTATCATCCTCAACTCTAGATTCATTTTTTGATTCTACTTGGGATTCCCCCTCCTTTCTAGAAATCCACACTTTCTTTTCATCTAACCACACTCGTTCCTCTTCCTTACTACTAATCTCCCCTTGAAGAGGAACTAACGACACGTCATCAGGAAAAAATGATTCTGACTCACAAAATTCCACATCCATAGAAACATAGTATTTTCCTGTAGGGGGATGAAAACATTTGTAGCCCTTCTGGGAGCTAGAGTAGCCAAGGAAGACACATTTCAGTGCACGAGGATCAAATTTACCTCTGAGATGAGAGTGCACATGAACATAACACACAACCAAAAACTTTAGGACAGATTTAAAACAGAGGGAATAGAGTGAAACTGTGACAACATTTTTAAGGGAGTTTGAAAGTCAATGATGCGAGCAGGCATCCAATTTATGAGAAAGACAGAAGTAGTTACCGCTTCGGCCCAAAAACGTTTTGGAACACGCATAGTAAAACATAAGACTTGAGCAACTTCAAGAATGTGTCGATTTTTTCGCTCTGCGACGCCGTTTTGTTGAGGTGTGTAAGCACAAGTGGTCTGATGGAAAATGCCGTGAGTCGAGAAGAAGTTGCCAAGAGTTTGGTTTACAAACTCACGACCATTGTCAGAATGAATAACTTTGACCTGTGTATGAAATTGTGTCTCAATCATTTTAGAGAATTTTGGAATAACATGCCCAACTTCACCCTTAGATTTTAACAAATATATCCAACAAACTCTGGTACAGTCATCAATGAAAGAGATAAAATATTTATGACCTGTAATAGATGGAGTAGAGAAAGGCCCCCAAACATCAGTATGAACACAAGTAAAAGGAACAGAACTTTTATTAAAACTGACTTTGAAAGGTACACGATGATTTTTAGCAAAAATACATTGTTCACACCGCATACTAGAACTAGAAATGTTTTTAAATAACTTTGGGAACAAGTGTTCTAAGTAAGGAAATGAAGGATGGCCTAATCAACAATGCCACAAAAGAATCCTATCTCTTGGAGAGGATTTACTAACAACTTGAAGACCATGGCTATCCTCAGTTTGCAAACACTTTGTTCCTTCCAAAAAATACAGCCCTCCTCTTTCTCTACCAGTGCCAATCGTCATCTTCATTCGATTGTCCTAAAATACACAATGAGTAGGTGAGCAGATGACAGAGCAATCAAGATGCTTTGTAATTTTACTAATAGATAAGAGATTAGTGGAAAACGTAGGATCAAGTAAAACAGATGAGATTGAGAAAGTAGGTGAAAACGAGACATTCCCAGCCCCAGTAATTTTGACAGGAGTCCCATTAGCCACCTGAACAGACTGAACAGGCGAATTTGTCAACGAGTCAAATGTAGAGGGATTACAGGTAAAATGATCAGTAGCTCCAGAATTTATAACCCAAAAATCAGATACAGTAGAAGCAGATTGCACCCCAGAAGTACCTTCTCCAAGCAACATGAGAAACAGTAGCTGTAGGTGCCTGAGATGAATGCGTAGTCTAAGATGATCTTCCACCCCTCTTCTCTGCCCTCTTTGCTAAATACCAGTCTGGATAGCCTTTTTTTTTTGAAACACTTGTCAGCAGTGTGTCCTTTTAGGTGACAGAATGAGCAAATTTCAGTAGACTAAATAGGAGCTCGTGATCGAGGATTGAACCCTTTTACAGCCAACGCAGACGCCTCAGAATGGCTTTCGCCCCCCATAGTGAGTTGTCGCTGTTCCTCACGACGAACAGTCGAGAACACCTCTTCCAAGCTTGGAAGGGGTGTAGTAGCCAAAATACGACTACGCACTTGATCCAAACCATGATCAAGTCCCGCCAAAAACATATAAATTCTGTCTTCAGCACACCTCTTCTTTAATGCATCAACATCGGCAGCGCACTTCATGGAATTAGGTCTGCGATAGTCAAGCTCCAAAAAAGTGGAATTCATTTCAGTGTAGTATGTGACAAGAGGCCACCCCTCTTGCCGCAGTTGAAAAGATTTTTTCATTAGTTCATAAACTTGAGATGAATCAGAGACATCAAGATAACTTCTCTTAACCGCATCCCACACATCTTTGGCCGTGTCAAACTGAACAAAATGGGCCACAAGAGCATCAGTCATAGAATTAATAAGCCAAGACTTAACGATGGCATCATCTGCCACCCATTTACCATAGGTACTATCATCTTCTTTTGGTAGAGTTAGTTCACAAAAAATGTGAGTTCTTTTTTTCCGGCCAGTAATGTGCATCTCTAGTAATTTTGACCACACACGATGTTAGTGCCATCTAACTTAATGTGAATTGGAGACGATGTTTCATGAACTAACGATGTAACCATTCTCTGGTCAGCCATTATTTCAAGTAGTTAATAAATAACGTAACAACCAATCACACAAGAAATCAATAGCAAGGTCAAAAAACCAACCACAGTCTTCCCAATTTCCTAATTTTTCTCCTCAGTTCTTTCTTCAGCTCTCTAGCATCATGACTGCAGAAGCTGTGAACCCAAAAACATACCCATTGGCAGATGCCCAGTTGACTATTACGATCCTGGACTTGATTCAGCAGGCTGCCAACTACAAACAGCTCAAAAAGGGTGCTAATGAAGCGACTGAATGAATGCAGGCAGGCAGTGAGGGTCGCCTGAGCCGGAAAAGCAGCGCCTAGGGTTCGGGTTTAGCAGTGCGCTGCTGCTGCCGACCAGAATCGCCACTGCAAACGCAGCCTCTGCCGGAAAACGCGCCTGCCTGAGTCGCGCAGCTCCCTGCCGGAGAGCGCCTAGGGTTCGGGCGCCAGTTCGTGCCGCCGGAGTCGCCGCTGCAACCGGCCGATGGTGGGACCTCCAGAATCGGCGGTAAATGCAAGGCAAGGGTTTGGGTTTCCTCAGCTCTGATACCAAGTCGTGTTTTGGGTTTTGAAGTATATGTGTTTTATTGATAGGATGAATGAATATATACAATACAAGAAATTGCAACCATGGTCCCTAACAATAACAAATATTACAAGTACAATTATATTTCAACTAATAGCATAGGTACTAAACCCATACCTGACTAGCCATATCCGATCGAAAACCCGGCAAACTAGACCTTGTTCCGATCCGGTTAGTATATTTGGACCGGTTCACATTAGAACCAGTCAAGGCCTGCCCTAACAGGCTGGGTTTCACATAAAATGGACGAACTGGATCAACAAAACCCAGTGAGTCTTTGCACAATGGGCTGTTATTTGCAAAATGTGCAGATTTTGGAGACAAAGTCTCAATCTCAAGACCTAAACCTTTTTTAAAGGACGCATTGCCACTAGGCTACCTCGATTGCTTGGGTATATAACCAATTGGAGATTGTAATTATTTTAAATATTTATTTTGCCTTTGAAAATGAATCAACAAAAATATATAGATTTCAAGTCTATTAAATATTTTTTTTTATAGCCAAATTTAAAACATAATGGAAAAAGAATTGAAAGATAGATTAATAATATAGATACAACTATATAAAAACATTTTCAAGAGACTCTTTATTTATAAAAAGTATCTTACGTATAATAGAGAACATATTTAAATTTCAATAGTAAAATATTTTCCATACTCCAACAATGCCCCACTATTTTGGCTTTTCATTTTTTTTTCCAAGTAATGTTCATTGATTTCTCATGATTTCACACTTTTAACATATCTTTTTATATGTTAACGGCCAATTAATTCAAACATAGAGTATTGAAATCTATAATTTATTAAATACGATCACTAAAATGTAAAAAAAATTAAATAGAAAGTCCCTTTAAACTTATTTTTAAGCATCAGCTCTCTAAAATATATATCATCTTGTATTTAGAAAATCTCTCGGAGATGCTCTAAAAGAAATAATTAAAATCTTCTATACGTATTAGATTAATCTTGAAAAAAGAGAGAATTTTGAGGCTCCTGTACTTTAGCTGGGTGCGTGACCCGGCTGAATCTGATATGATAAGCGCTTTATAAGTTTGATTCAGAGCTCAGCTAAGCAGCTTAATAAATTACATAACACGTTTTAAAATTTCGAAAGAATTCAACTTGATTAAATTAAAAGAAAGATTAACAACCATATATTAGCTTCAAAACCAATATAAACATGCTCAGAGCATGCAAAATAAAGATTAACACAATGCTGCATTTAGCAACAGGAATTCTAGAGACTGGGTATCAAAAAAGTCCAAGAGGATGAACAAACAGAACTCCTCCAAATCTGATCCCACAACACCAAACATAACTGTAAATCCACCAAAAACTTGAAAAATAAAATAACTAAGAATCTGCACAAAAGAATCCAACTTTAATCAATTCAAAACTCTATCGATGATGAATTAAACAAGAATCCACAAACAATGTTTCAATATTTGAATTAAATTTATTATCCACCAATGGATTAGTTTGCCATGTCTCTCTTTCTCTCTCTATATTATATGTTTAGATGGTTCAAGAGTACCTGCTGGTGGCCTTCAAGTGGAGTCAAAAGAGAAAAGCAATCCCCGGTAGACCACTGATGTAAATACTTACAATTATCTCCAAATTTACAGTTACCTTGTAACCAATGATTACACAATTTCTCCATCTTCTTAACCACCATATTACTACTACTGCCACCACCTTGTCCTTGCACTCTACCCCATGTATTATTAAAATTAGAATTCCGGCTCCGCCGCAACCCGCCGCCCTGACTACTGTCCGCCTCAAATCCCTGGTGAGCCCGCTTTGACGATTCCCCATTGTTCGCCCCCGGTAACTCGCTATGTAGAAACGAACAAGGGAAGCGCGAGCACTTGCCTTGCCTCCAATGGTAACATACTTTCTGCTGCTTATTATCACTGTATCCACTCGAAGCCGACTGGCCGAGTCTGTGATAAACTCTTCTTCCGCCATTCATATCCATAATTATACTCAGTAACTAGAAATAAAGGAAGAATTTTTAGATGGGATTTCAAATTAATGCACAATTATTTGGTGATTTGCGTAATAAAATATGAAATTAGGAACCCTAATTTTTGGTCAGAGAGATCGATTTGGACAGTGAAGGAAAAAAGAAGAAGAAATGGAAGACAAGGTGGGGGAGAGAGAGAGGAATCGGAAGGAACCAGGATCTATTTTTTATTAATCTTTTGGTTTTATTTTACAAAGAAAACGTGTTACCAAAAGGACATTGATGAAAAATCAGCGGAAGTCGCATCACAGTTTTGAAAATAATATTTTGTCATGGCTGATTTATTATATTTTTTCAAATCAATTGATTCAATTCTACCTTCTCGTTAAAGATTGATCGTTGCAAACTGCATACGAGATAGATATTGACTGTCAACTATCAATGAAGTAGCTTATAAAACTAGTTCGCGATCATTTCATTTTGACGATACACAAAGTAACAAGTATCACAACCAACTTCAAAATAGTATTAGAATATCAATATGTTCAAGGAATAGGGCATTTATAGATAAATTGCATTATTTCAGTCCTTGCAACACCCCAAGAGCAATGCATTCGGCTACCCCAATCTTGTAAGCATAATCTTGAGCAAAGTTTAATCCATTTGAAGCACAATAGCTTCAACAGTCTCTAGTTCGAAACAATCCCATCATTACATCTTTGGGCTTTCTTAGCAGTAGCATTAGTACTTAGTTTGAGTTTTCCATCTAATGGTGGCATCTATTAAGGGATATATCACACATCGGATAATTATCAAAATATTGAATAACATATAAGAGTAATAATATGTACTATTCCTCTTAACAATGTTAATATTTTAACATGAAAAATCTTAATACAGTATTGTTCCAACGAACAATTTGATCTATTGTTCACTCGCTTAGCCAACATATACCCTTGGGACGATGTGAAAGCCCGAAGGATAGCGATTAGGTGTGCTTAAAGTTAGTCAAATACCAACCCTGGAAGCTTAGTTGAGAAAGTTGCAGAAGAGACGCTAAAATGAACAGACTAAGGTGAGAAATGAACTTGAACGGAGACAATTTCTTCCCATTTCCAGACAAAGTAACATTGAAAGGTCATCTCATCCACTTTTCCAATTAGCATGTTTGTTTGTGCTTAAAAGTAAATAAAACTCGTTTTTAAGTTACTTATTTGGCCAAAATCGATCTTCAATGTTGCTTTTCTACTAACAAAACTTTCCAAACATGCTCAGATTTCATTTTACACGTATCGTATCGTATCAATTCTAATTCCACTCACTGCCCCGGATTTACTATACTGGTAGAAGAAATTTAAGTTTTAACGAAATAGAAAATGCAACTGAACTTGAAACAGAATGCAAGTAAACACCACCCAGTGACTGCAACTGGGATGCATCACCAAAAATAAAATAGAAGCGGAGTCCTTTCTTCAAATTGTTCGTCTGATATTGATATTACAGCCAGAATTACCAGAATAAATTTCCTGTAAAACACACGTTCTGCTGTGAGACCTGTAAGGCTTAACCAAGAGTAGACCAGAACAGGTAAGAATTTAGAAGTATAAATGGAAATAAAACTCTTGAGCCTGTGCACTTTAGGGTCCTTGTTCATATTTGACAGAGATTAAAGTTGTGAAAACTCCTGGATAGGTGAATCCTTTCTAGTTAGAGAATCTTTTTCTAGCTGCTTTGGAAGAAACATGGATTATTCAGGTATTCATGTATGGAAACCACTGTAAACAACTAACATAGGCTTCCACAGTCACTTGGTGATTTTGGAAAAAGAGGTGCCAGTTAATTTTTGTAGAAACCTAGCCTTGAAAACATTGCTACACATGGAAGACCTTCCCTGTAGATACTAGAATTACCATCAAGTAAAACAAACACATACGGCACTACATCAAGGAAAATTCTAAACAAACAGGCCCCTGTGACAGGAGCCTATTTGCCCCCTCCCTCCCTCCAATAGGGGGGCGCCGATTCACAGGGCCTGTCACGCCCCTGTCACAGTAGCCCAACCCCTACATCAATTTGTTAAAATCATAGCCAGCAACAGGCTTCAACAGTTCAATATAACAGCTTTCTTTTTTATTTCTTTTTCGTTTTATTTGCAGGATTCAGGTGAAGAGGGACCGAAGTGGATAGTTACAAAGTAAAGCAGCCATGAGCACACCAAATATTACAAGAAAATGTAATTTAACAAAGTTGTGATTGTAGAAGTTCTGTATTACACCAGTGCAATAAACTTCTGATACAAGACATGGTTTTTTTCTCAGCACTTGGAGAAAAAGCTTCTAAAATCTAATTCCTTCTTTCTTACCCTTGAGAAATACGAAGAGAATGGGGAACTATATAGACTTATAATATTGACGAGTGCACCAAGTAGTGAATGATAAATAAATCAAAAGAGATTTAATAACATGAATCATCATGATGCAATACTGTGTACGCACTGAAATTTAGTTCTCCAGTCTTGAAGGATGCAACAACCTAAGAAACGTCCCACGGAAAGCATGTTTCATAGGGAGGTAAGTTACTCAGATCTATTCAACTGGCAAGTTTAAAGGCATCAATGAAGAGACCATACGTAAAACCCATCTTGAAATTGTTTAGCAGGGCAAGAGGGAAAGTGACCTTTGGCCGACTGTAATAGAATCTTGTCACATACTCCGTGATTAGAACACATAAAACAGCAGCAATTACATCATTAACACCTAAAGCTCCAAAAGATAGAGATATTGTTTGTGCCACGTAAAAGCCACCCAACAAAGATATACCTCCAAAAAGGGCCCTCCGGGAAGGACTTCTGAAGTAATTCCTTGATATATCTGGTACAATTCGTATAATATCAACCAATCGTCGGGGACCTTCATTCTCTTGGACCGCTCGTATTCTAAATGATCCAGATGATCCTGAAATGCGTTTTACCCATCTACCATGGCAAATAGCTGTGCTCGGAATTAAACCATAATTGAGGAGACCCAAAGAACTTAAGGCAACAGAGTTTGCCATTTGGAATGAATATTTAGTAATCAACATGAATTCTCTGGAAGAATGAATGGTGATGGATTTTTTAGCAACTGCACACTAACAAAAATTAAATTGAGTTAAACCATAGTAACCTGGGAGACAAACGATCCCCCACACCCTCCCCCACCAACCATACCAAAAAAAGAAAGTTGCAGAAGAGACGCTAAAATGAACAGACTAAGGTGAGAAATGAACTTGAACGGAGACAATTTCTTCCCATTTCCAGACAAAGTAACATTGAAAGGTCATCTCATCCACTTTTCCAATTAGCATGTTTGTTTGTGCTTAAAAGTAAATAAAACTCGTTTTTAAGTTACTTATTTGGCCAAAATCGATCTTCAATGTTGCTTTTCTACTAACAAAACTTTCCAAACATGCTCAGATTTCATTTTACACGTATCGTATCGTATCAATTCTAATTCCACTCACTGCCCCGGATTTACTATACTGGTAGAAGAAATTTAAGTTTTAACGAAATAGAAAATGCAACTGAACTTGAAACAGAATGCAAGTAAACACCACCCAGTGACTGCAACTGGGATGCATCACCAAAAATAAAATAGAAGCGGAGTCCTTTCTTCAAATTGTTCGTCTGATATTGATATTACAGCCAGAATTACCAGAATAAATTTCCTGTAAAACACACGTTCTGCTGTGAGACCTGTAAGGCTTAACCAAGAGTAGACCAGAACAGGTAAGAATTTAGAAGTATAAATGGAAATAAAACTCTTGAGCCTGTGCACTTTAGGGTCCTTGTTCATATTTGACAGAGATTAAAGTTGTGAAAACTCCTGGATAGGTGAATCCTTTCTAGTTAGAGAATCTTTTTCTAGCTGCTTTGGAAGAAACATGGATTATTCAGGTATTCATGTATGGAAACCACTGTAAACAACTAACATAGGCTTCCACAGTCACTTGGTGATTTTGGAAAAAGAGGTGCCAGTTAATTTTTGTAGAAACCTAGCCTTGAAAACATTGCTACACATGGAAGACCTTCCCTGTAGATACTAGAATTACCATCAAGTAAAACAAACACATACGGCACTACATCAAGGAAAATTCTAAACAAACAGGCCCCTGTGACAGGAGCCTATTTGCCCCCTCCCTCCCTCCAATAGGGGGGCGCCGATTCACAGGGCCTGTCACGCCCCTGTCACAGTAGCCCAACCCCTACATCAATTTGTTAAAATCATAGCCAGCAACAGGCTTCAACAGTTCAATATAACAGCTTTCTTTTTTATTTCTTTTTCGTTTTATTTGCAGGATTCAGGTGAAGAGGGACCGAAGTGGATAGTTACAAAGTAAAGCAGCCATGAGCACACCAAATATTACAAGAAAATGTAATTTAACAAAGTTGTGATTGTAGAAGTTCTGTATTACACCAGTGCAATAAACTTCTGATACAAGACATGGTTTTTTTCTCAGCACTTGGAGAAAAAGCTTCTAAAATCTAATTCCTTCTTTCTTACCCTTGAGAAATACGAAGAGAATGGGGAACTATATAGACTTATAATATTGACGAGTGCACCAAGTAGTGAATGATAAATAAATCAAAAGAGATTTAATAACATGAATCATCATGATGCAATACTGTGTACGCACTGAAATTTAGTTCTCCAGTCTTGAAGGATGCAACAACCTAAGAAACGTCCCACGGAAAGCATGTTTCATAGGGAGGTAAGTTACTCAGATCTATTCAACTGGCAAGTTTAAAGGCATCAATGAAGAGACCATACGTAAAACCCATCTTGAAATTGTTTAGCAGGGCAAGAGGGAAAGTGACCTTTGGCCGACTGTAATAGAATCTTGTCACATACTCCGTGATTAGAACACATAAAACAGCAGCAATTACATCATTAACACCTAAAGCTCCAAAAGATAGAGATATTGTTTGTGCCACGTAAAAGCCACCCAACAAAGATATACCTCCAAAAAGGGCCCTCCGGGAAGGACTTCTGAAGTAATTCCTTGATATATCTGGTACAATTCGTATAATATCAACCAATCGTCGGGGACCTTCATTCTCTTGGACCGCTCGTATTCTAAATGATCCAGATGATCCTGAAATGCGTTTTACCCATCTACCATGGCAAATAGCTGTGCTCGGAATTAAACCATAATTGAGGAGACCCAAAGAACTTAAGGCAACAGAGTTTGCCATTTGGAATGAATATTTAGTAATCAACATGAATTCTCTGGAAGAATGAATGGTGATGGATTTTTTAGCAACTGCACACTAACAAAAATTAAATTGAGTTAAACCATAGTAACCTGGGAGACAAACGATCCCCCACACCCTCCCCCACCAACCATACCAAAAAATAAAAATAAAAAAAAACATAAAAACTTCTCAATCTCATATATTCGTCCTTCCTTAAACAATCAACCAGAATTAAAGCAATACTTTGAAAAATTACTGTAAGATTGTCAAGACAATTTTAATCCCCTTTCTACATTATTAGCAAATTCAGGCATTCTACAACCATTATTAAAATGAAAATTAGATCAATATCGAAAAATAAATTGTAATTTAAGCACAGTTCATCAAATACAGTACAAAAAATTAAATAAACAAATCACTAAAATGAGCTTGATAAAAGCATAATTGGCTGGCAGTGGATGAATTTACGGTTAAAAAAATAATAAATTGGAGGAAATAAAATACACATACCTTATGATGTACGTTTATGCATTATATGGTTGAAACTCCATTTCTCCCTCAACTGCAGCTCAACAAAAAACGGAGAGTAGAGAGAGGATGAAATCAGGGGAATACTGTGCTCCAACAGCAATACGACGTCGTGTACGAAGCAAGGACTAGGAGAGGGGTACTTTACAAAAGCACCTAGTCAAGTCCGTTTGGTACTCATTAAATTTCATTCTATTCTATTTTATTTTTCTTTCTCTCATTTTTAACCACATAATTTTTTATAAAATAATATTACACTTAAATCGAAAAAAAATTCTTTTTCATCCACTTATTTTTTGAAAAAACATTATTCTATTCATTTTCATTTACAAAAAAGGAGACCAAAAGAGGGCCAAAAACCACTTTGTGACATTGACCAAAATTTTTTTTTTCCGTTCATCAAAAGGACCTTTTGAAAAGTAAATATCATTTTTGCCTTTATTATATTTTGTGATTACAAAAATATATCATTTGTTCAAAAGACAATAATACCCTCTTTCAAAAAATTAATAAATCCAAACACTCCCACTTAAATTTTAAAACAAAATCACTTTACTTATCAGATTCTCCAACATAATTAAAAAGAAATTTTATCTTCCCTATACTTGAACATTGAAATCTCACAAAATTCTCAAAGGCTCAACAAAAAAATATGACTCACAGCCGGCACTTGAAATTGGTAAGTATAAATGCGTATTTTTAATATTATTTTAGTTAAATTAGTTTATTGTTTGAATTTTTAAATCTTATTTCAGCGTATAATTTTAGAAAAATAAATTATTACAGTCTTGAACGGATGTATAATTTTTTTAGCAAAAACGAAAAAAAAAATTCATCTGTTCAGTAAAAATCAGCAAAATGGAGAAGTCAGACAGACAGTCCAGGCCAGATTTTTTATTTTTATTTTTTTTATATGTGTGTGTCTTGCTTAGCATTTTTTTTGTCATTTTATTCTCGTAATTACAATTTTTTAATAAATGATGTTTCCTAATGCAGATATTGGATCAGTTATTGTCCCAATTTGTTACTTTGATGAATTTGAAAAGAATGAAAATGATCGATGGGTGTGAAAATGCACGAGTGAAAGATATGGTTGTACTGTAATTGTGATAACATCAAATACATCATATTGTGTTAACATCAAGTACATCATATGCAAAAACGTACAATGGGATACAGAACTTGCTGAAAGTTGATCCCTCTAAGTACGACATGGAATTGGGATTTCTAGTGGACAAGCATACATCCATTTCAATTCCATCTATAATGATTCCTTCTAAAACTGAAATGGAGGTTTTAATTGAAATGAACCAGAAACATGCGATTCTTATTTGCGTAATTTTGATGAAGAAGAACGTCCCCAAGAGTGAACACGAAGATTTTGATGGAGGGGATCGTAATGTGAATAAGTTTGAGGACACAATGGAGATAGTGCATGATGATGTTATGGCTATTTCAGAGACAATTGCTCCTCACCATGATCTTACTATTACACACAAAATTTGTTCGGTAATTCAAGACAACGAAAGAGATAATGACTTTATAAATGAGAATTTGATTGCTTTATCCCATCTGAGACATGAGTCAACTGGAAGCTCACAGGTTGGACCGAGTGCACGATCCTCTAATTGTTCGTGTGTAGTCCCTGATGATGAAGAACTGTTTGAAACGAAGAAAGATTTGCAGGAAGTTGTTCACCGTATTACTTTGAAACACAATTTTGAGTTTAAAGTGAAGAAATCAAACAAATCGACTTACACAATTTTCTGCGTTGACAACAGTTACTTTTGGCGTTTGCAAGCAACGAAAATGGACACGAATGAGTTCTTTGTAGTTCGTAAGTATGTACGGGAATATACTTGCGAAATGGGTATCCGTCGAAATTATCACAGGCAAGCCCGATCATAGTTCATTAGTCGAGAAGTAATGCACAAGTTTTAGGACCCACAAACAATCTACAGACTTTCGAACATCATTAATGACGTTCGTCGAGAGTACGAGGTGGTCATGAGCCATCAGAAGGCTTGAAAGGGCAAAGAATGTGCATTGGAGGACTTGATAGGTTCGACCGAGGAGAGTTATGCTAAATTGATCAGGTATTTCTTTGTTTAGATGTTTATTTAATATTTATTTCAAATGTTAATTATTTATTTCAATTGTTTAATTAATTATTTAATCAATTGTTTACTTAATGTCTAACTAATTATTTAATTCAATCATTAATTTCAATTGTTTATTTAATTATTTATCGATTCCTTATTAAATGTCTAATTAATTATTTAATTCAATTGTTAATTTTTTTGTTTATTTAATTATTTAAATTATGATTTATTTAAATTGGTCAGGTTTTGCTATAATATGGGAAGAATGAAGATTGGATCGACATTTTTTATTGAGAAGGATGACGAGAATCGCTTCAAGTATTTCTTTATGGCCCTTGGACAATGCGTTCGAGGATTTCGAAACGCAATGTGACCCCTAATCCTAGTCGACGGTACAACTCTTAAGGTGAGATACGAGGGCAAGTTGATTATTAAAACATGTCAAGATGCTAAAATCCAAATTTCCCCTCTTGCATTCGGCATAGTCGATGAAGAAAATGATTTGGTGAAGCGTCGATTTTTCACGAAGTTGAGGGAAGTAATTGGGAATGTCGAGAACCTTGCATTCGTAATCGACCGAAAGTAGTTAATAATTAACAGTATCACCAAAGTCTTTCCCGGGGCACATCATGGTTATTGTATGGATTATATACAAGGAAATCTAAAGACCAAGTATCGAGACAGTGGCATCGTTACGTTGTTTAGGAGGGCTGCAGAGACTTACAGTTTTCAAGAGTTTGAAAAGTGTATGGTCGAAATAGAAAGTAAATTCTATAATGCATAGGAGTATCTGACAGAGATGGGGATTGAACATTGGGTACGATCACATTTTTTCAGACGTCGATACGTGATGAAATCGAAAAATATGGAGTCGTTCAATGCCTTATTCAAGAAGGGTCGAGAGTTACCAATTTTCGTAATACTTGAAAACATTCGTGACAAATCGCAACAGTGGTTTCATGATCATCGTGAGAAATCATAGAGTTGCACAAGTGTGTTAATCCCGTCTCAGGAAAATAAACTCCTCAAGACTCTAGAGATGGCGAGGAAGGTATATGTAGAACCACTGGATTAGTTTCGCTTCTCTCATTGAATAACTTGTTGCCAGCAGCAGTCGGCCCACGTACTCCTGGACGTACACATACGTTTAGAATACCATCGATCGGAGAATTTTCCCAACCTCTTAAGTACGGTAGGTGCGATACAACAGGACATATCAGAAAATTTTGTATAATTCAGATCACTCTGCATGGTAATGTAACAGATGTATAATTGAAGTTTATGTAATATTATTTATAATATTGATATTAATTATTTACGCATATTCTTAATGTTAATTATTAGATTTAGTTTTTTTATTTCAATATTTCATTAATTAGTTTCATAGTATTTGAAGTTTTTTTTTTTAAAACAAAGTGCATTCTCCAGAATATACCCAAATATTATAAATACGTCATGAAACATTTAAATAAACACATAAACTACAAAATAAAAATTAAATATTAGAAAAATAATATACATTTTACAATTATTTTATAATTACAAATGAATAAATGAATGAAATATACAATATTTAAACGTTACAATATGTACAATTATTTTTAAAAAATAAGGCTCCAATATCTACAGATCACCATTAAATTCAAATAAATCATAAGCTAATTTATTTATCCAATTTTGTGTTCAAGCCTGTTGATTGTATATACCTTCTATGCTACACTCAAAAATTCTATGTACTTAATAGCGAAATGCCGCAATCACCCCTACAATTACAAAATATTGTATTAGCACATCACCATCTAACTAGAACATAAGTTGTAAATTAAAAAAATAAAATAACAAAAACTTACGATATTTGCTGTCTCGCAGTCATCGTGTCATGCACGGTGGCCAGTCTGTCCTGCATAGTGATGTTCGCTCGTCTAGCCAACATGGGAACGATCACAGACACGGACTCCAAATTTTGCTCGAGCTGACCTTGTATCAAGCATGAATGATCAGGGTCATACACATACATAGTCGAGTCAGCGAATACAATCCTACTACAATGTAGTGATGATTCACACACACCGAAATATACAGATGCGTACAACCCTTTCATGGCTTTCTCCCAACACTCGACCACATCCCTACGACTCCCACTCCATCATGTATATAGGCACCGTGTACTCGCTACTCATAGCTTGGAGTGTCTGATACTCAATGTCAACGGCACGTATGAGCTCAGTGTTCAATATGAATCGGCCAGATATGTTGAACGATATTGAATGTCTTTCAGCTCGATCTCGTAGCAAATTCATGGAAAAGTCAATGTGCTGCATCAGGAAACGCCAATTAAAAAAGAAGTTATTTAATTTCATAAATTCAAAATTCAAAAATATGAATACGTAATAAATAACAATATTACTACCTCACTTATATCGTCGGCGAGCCAAGCCTCCGAAGTGGTGATATCATGAAACCACTTGTAAGCATCCGAGATCGTCTTATGAGCAATCCTATGGCTGGCTCTGAAAAAATAAGAAAAGAAATTGTTAAAAAGTACAGATGTGTCAGCGTCTGCATAATGTACTAATTCTTAACGAATAATAAAATACTTACTGATGAGTGATCTACACTCACGATATTTATGCCACCTAATTCGTTATTTTACTACTCTTGAGAGTGTTTTAGAATGTTTTAATGTGTGTTTTGATGTTGTGATGTAGATTGATGAAATTGGAGGAATTAAGCAAAAGTTGGCAAAATTGGAGAGAATGGGCCAAATTGTAAAAGATCTAAAGTTCGGGGACTAAAATATAAATAATCCAAACTTGTATCGAACCTTGCCATCAAGATCCGAGAGTGTTAGGAATCAATTGGATGAGGAAAGATGTCAAAGGGATCAAATTTAGGCAAAATGTGACCACAAATCAATTGTCAATCGAAAAGTTATGCTCCAAAATTTCAGTCTCGTGTTTAGACCTATTTCTAACATAGTAAAAGATCGAATTGGAAAATGATGTTTGAAGAAAAGTTATAGCCATT